AGGGGGGGGGGGGGTTCCCAAATTTAAGAGGGGGCGGACGGGATTGGGGTCACGCGCTTGTATGGGCACATGTATGGGCACAGGGTGAGCGGGGCGGGGCGGCGGCGGCGGCGCACGGCTGCGGATGATGTCAAAGACGGCGCACGCCGTGAAGGGCACGTCGATCACGATCGTGGCGAGGGTGGTGGCGGCGATCGAGGTGCGCCAGTTTGCGTTGATGAGGTAGGCGCGGGTGAGCGCGAGCCCGACCGCAAAGATGCCGCGGCCGGCGAGCCCGAACATCTGCCGGGGCAGGTTCTGCACGTCGCACCAGTGGCGCATCACGCCGATGCCGGCCGGCGAGGCGACGGAGCCGAGCGTGGTGGAGGCGAGCCCGTACGCGATGAGGGAGAAGAAGAAGCGCGAGCAGAGCAGCCGCCACACACCCGCGAGGTAAGACCTGCTCACAGCGCCGGAGGGGTGTGAGGAGGCTGAAGGCGCCGCGGCACGCAGCAAGCGAGGTGGGGCCGCAGCGGCGGCAACGGGGCCGAGGCCGGCAAGTCAGGCACCAGCAGGAGCGAGGCGGGCGCCTACCAGCAGCCGTGGCATGCGCTGCCCCCCTGAGTGTCGCACACGGCTCGTCGGTGGCGGGCGGCGGCGAAGTGGGCGCCATGGCGAGCGCTGGCAGCGCGAAGACGAGGCAGACGGCCTGAGGGAACAGAGCCGTGAGTCAGGAAGAAGAAGGCGACGACTGCGCGAGGCCGAGGCAGGCGCGGGAGCAGGCCGACGCGCGGGGTTGGGAGCAGGGGTTGGGAGCAGGGGTTGGGAGCAGGGGTTGGGAGCAGGGGTTGGGAGCAGGGGTTGGGATGAGGCGGAGACCGCGATCTCGAACGAGAGCAGCCTCGGAACGAGTAGCTACCGTGTTCTATCGGATGACATTGCGTTATGCTGCCGCCTCGAAGGAGAGGCCGCGCGCGAAGCTGCCGCCGTACTCGGGGCCGTTCATGCCAAAGCCGACGATCACCGACGAGAGCATCATCCCGATCTGCCTGCGGGCACCGTCCCGACTTGGCTCAGGATGCGGCAAGCTGGGCCGCCATAGGGTTGGCCACAAGTCTGCCCCGGGTGGCTCAGCCGCCCTCTCGGCTACCCTCGTCTCCGTGCCTGCAGAGGTACACCGACGACTGGATCGTGCCTATGCGTGGTTGGGCCCGACGGCTAGCCGGGAGGGAGGCGAGGCCCGAGGGCGGGCGGGTCTCTCCGCGGGCGTCGCCTCGGCTCTCGATCGGCTCGCGCATCGCAAGGGTGGCGGTCAGCCCGTCGGCAGCCACGTCGGCGCACACGTACCCCAGCGTGGCGACGAACATCAGCCAGGTGACCCACCCTGCCCCGGCGGCGGCGGCGGCGTTGCACGGCGCCGCAGCAGCCTCGCCGCCGATGTCGCGAGGCGAGTCGACCGAGGGGACGCACGCGGGGTGGCTGCTGTGAGGAGTGTCGCACGTGGTGACGTAGTGGCCGCCGCTGTCGGCGCACCAGTAGGGATCCGGCAGCCCGCCCGCGGCGAGCGCGAGGAGGGCGGCACCGCACACGCTCCAGCCCAGGGCCATGTACGGGCTCCGCCGGAGGCCTCGCACCGGCACGTTGTCGTGCAGCGCGCCGAGAAACATCTTGAACGACCACGGCAGGCGGCAGAGCGCCCCCGTCGCACCATAGACGTAGCCTGGCACGTTGAGGTAGATGCCGAACACACCGTACATTGTCGCCGGCAGGCCGCCGGACACGATCCCAACCACAAAGTACTGCGCCATCAGCCCTGCGTTGCGGGTGGCGAGGCTGCCCTGCGCGGCGAGCGGAGCTAGCACCTCCCGCTTCGTCTCCATGCGAATGCGGAATCGAAGGCGCGACTTTACTTTGGAAATCGGCCCTGGTGTGGGTTTGGGTTTGTGATCTGTGATCTGTGAGGGTCCGCCGCAGGCGCATTTTGTATACCGAGGCGGTGCCCGGTGCCGAACCTGTCGGACCTTAAGACAGCGTTGTAGATCCCTGGGCGAGGGTGGTGGAGAGGGCGGTCCGTCGGCGCCAAACCACCTCCCACCGACCGAGGTGGGCAGGTTCCACGCGTTCCCGGACCGCCCCGTTGGAGGTAGACCGCTCGTCTAGCCAATCAGCCTTAAGCGAGCGGCCTGGCCGTTGGAATGGCCGGGTGGAGAGAGGGGCGGAGTCGGCTCGGAAGCGCGACTGCAGCCACGGGGACTGCCCGCCCACTCTCGTCGGGTTGAGGGGAGGACGACTGTCTCTGACGGCGAACCTCAGTTACGAGTCGCCCTCCCCTCGAGACGCGAGGCCAGCGCACTCGGGGCCGAGCCCCAGCGTGCACCGTCCCACACGCCTCACGCGGCCTCTGGCTGGAGCGGGATCGCAAGCGAGTCCCCCAGGCCGGCGCGCGTCTTCCGAGAGAGGAGCAGGAGCGAGGGACATTCTTAGTAAGCCGGCATGCAGATGCATGCACGGCCGTTCAGAAACTTTCCCAGCCGTTGGAATGGCTGCGCTCCCGCCCCTCACGCCGGGTGGACAAGCGGGGGGGAGGTCAATGACCTGCCTAGTAAGCCGACATGCCAGGCATGCCGACCTTTCGGAGCCCCCCCTCGTAGACGTGTGCCGCTGGGATCATTCCAGTACGCCCGAGGGCGACGGTCCCCCGGTAGTAGACGTTGGCGCCGAAGAGGGAGGAGTCGCCGAAGGACGGGTAGTCGTCGGTCATGCGGGGGAAGGAGGAGTCGGCGAGCAGCAGGGAGGAGAAATGCTTGAGAGGGTGGGGAGGGAGGCGTGAGGCGCGAGAAGAGGGGGCGCGGGGCGCGGGGCGTGCGTGACACGCGGCGTGAGGCGCAGGGCGTGAGGCGGGAGGCGCGGGGCGCTCGAGGTTGGGGCAGGGTGTGTTGTGTGTGTGTATGTGTGCGTGTAAGTGTGTGTGTGTGTGTGTGTGTGTGTGTGTGTGTGTGTGTGTGTGTGTGTGTGTGTGTGTTTGTGCGAGGGCAGGGCAGGGCAGGGCAGGGCGGCGGCGAGCGGCGAGCGGCGTCGGCGAGATCGGCGACGAAGAGAGGCGATGGTGACGTACACGGCGGCAGTGTTCACGGTAGCAGCGCCGGTGGCGGCCCCGCGCAGCGGCGGCGGCGCCCTGAGTGAGGCAGATTGCCCTGCACAGCCTGCTGGGAACGCTCCCGATGAGCGGCGCGCCATGCGGGCCCGCCGCGGGCGACGCGGGCGGCGAGCCGACACGCGTGTCGCCGGCGTAGACAGCACTGGCGAAGCGAGGCGGCCGGCGCCGGCCCCGGAGGCGGCTGCAGTAAGAGCAGCGAGGCAGAAGTCACTGTCCAAGGCGTACTGAGCAGGCTGCCATCGAGCAGCGCGCCATGCGGGCCTGCCGCCGGCGACGAGATTGGAGAGCCGACAGGCATCACAGAGGTAGGTACTGAGGAGGGCCATCGCGCCCGAGGCGGTCCGCGCCGGCCCTGCAGGCCGTCTCAGAGAACCTGGCGAGGCTGTACAGAATGCCAAGAGCCTACTGAGCAGGCTGCCGTCGAGCGACTAGCCATGCTGGCTCGTCGCAGGCGATGAGGTCGAGGAGCCGATCGGAGCGTCGCAGTGGCTGCCGACCACTGCCGTTCGCCCTCGGGCCCAGGGGTGGAAGGCAAGCTTCCTGGCGTTTCTGGCGAGCGTCCAGACGTCGCAGAGCATCCGGCAGGCGCGCAGCGACCCAAATTTTTGCTCACCGCACGGCCGTGCGAGCCGTCGGTCGGTGGTGATGGTCGGCGTCGGCGCGCGCCGACCGACGCGGCGGCGGTGGGCGTCATGTGGCGGGCGTCGGAATGAGCATTGTGCGCCGAATTTCGGACGTCCTCAATGCCACGTTTTTTTTTTCGGTTTGGGTTTGTTGTTAGTGAGGCCGCTCGAGATCCGCGCCCGCGCTCATGCTGGGGTCCAGCGTAGCGTTCTGGCGTCATTGCCCGTCTTAGCCGCATACCGTGTCGGTCGGTCGTCGGTGTCCCCCGTTGGTCTGCAAAGCATGTGTTTCGGCTCCGCCTGCTTCCTTTATACATACTTTCGTACTTGCTTACGCACTGGGCCCACTGCTGGCTGGCACTGCACGGTGGGGAAGGATCTCCAGCAAAGATAAACATAAAGCTGGCGCCGGCCGCTGCACCCCCTCGGCCTCGCTCGCTCGCTCGCTCGGATCGGGAGCACGCTGCACGGATCGAGAGCACGCTGCACACGGAACGAGGCACGAGCTAGCGCGCTAGGGCACCAGGGACACACATACAACATGCACATGTGCATGCACATGTGCATGCACATGCGCGCATGTGCACGCACATGCACATGTCTCGGTAGGCTGCACAATGCACATGCCGGAGCCTGCCCGTGCGGCACTACCTAGCCGGGGCCCTACTGCAAAGGGTGTCGGGGCGGCGCCAGTGCCGCGAGCGCTCACAGGCGCTCGTCCCCCTCGTCCACCGCCGGCTTGCTCTTGAAGGCGTGCTTGGCGTTGGCGCTCGCGGCAGCGCCGAAGGCCTTACCCGCCTGGCCGAGGACGGACATGAGCAGGGCGCTCGATTGCATCGCGGCGGCCGTCTTGTGCTTGGCGCCGTCCTTCGCCATCAGCGCGTCGATCTCGGTCTGGTTCTTCACGTCGCCTTTGCGAGACGCACCATGTCACCGCCGTGCGGGAGGGGGAGAGGAGGGCTGGGTGCGAGGCGGGGCGTGGCACCTGTGACGAATGCCGACCCGGCGTCGAGCATGTTGTTCTGGACGGGGTCCTGCAGAGAGCCGACTTCGCCGATTGCGGCGTCGGTGCCGGCGCGATCTAGGCCGGAGGGACCGGATGACTCTCCGTTTGACTTTGCCTTGTACGCCGCCCCGACTTGGCCGTAGTAGGCGTTCTGGGCGGTCTGAGTTTTCTGAAGCGTATCCACAATCTGATAGAAGGCAGTGATTGCCGCTTTCCCTGCCGCCGCGTTCTCGTCGGCTGCGGTCCCGTCGTCCTCCGCCGCCGCACGCGAAGGGGTGAGGGCGCCGCCCGCGAGAAACAAACAAGCCAGGGCGGCGACGGCGAGAACGGCTGGGCGGCGCCGGGGCTGGGGAGGAGGGACCGTGAGCATGGGCACTTTGAGGCGGACCAAGGTCTGATGGTCTGCGGCGCCTATCGCCTAACGCATATTCCCCCGTGACATTGAAGAAAAACGCAGGGACTCGGTCTCGCCTCGCTCCCGGCTCCGGGCTCTGCCCACTCGAGAACTCGAGAAAAAAATTGCAGTTCCGTGCACGGTTCGGGCGCTCGCTTTCGCTCTGCCTTGGTGCTTGGACCCCAACGAAAAAGAAAGAAATCTCCCAAGGGAGGGATGGGAGGACGGCACGCCGCCACCACACAGGCCTCGCTGGCAAGGATACGACGTCATTTGCCTCGATTTATTGCAAACAACGACGTTATCGGCGGAAAAAAACAACGCTTTTCGCACGACACCGGGCACGGGACTGGCACAGACGCGACAAAACGATTTCTTCGGCGACTACCTTTACAACAAGGCCCACCACCGGCGGCCCCACGACGGCGTCCTCGCCGCCTGGGCGGACGCGATGCGCGCCCCGGCCAACGCGCCGGTCGTGCACGGTGACAAGGAGAAACCAGAGCTCACCCGGCAGTACAACGAGGGGTACAAGGTCGACCTCGCGGAACCCCACGCTGGCCCGGGAGGATGCGATGAGGTGAATGAAGTCAAGCTCTGGACGCCCCTCCTCAAGCCCTCCTCGGCGGGCGTTGGCAACGCCTCGAGCGGCGGCACGCCCGCCTCCGTTGGCCACTCCTACGCCTTCGGCAACACCGAGGAGAAGGCCCGCCGCCTAAACATGGGCTGCAAGGCGCGCGGGCAGCCCGGCCAACCCTTCGACCACAAGAACGGCCACGGCTACGTCAAGGCGCATCGCGGTTTCTACCACGACGCGATCTTTGTCAAGCGCAACAACTTCAACCTGCTGCTCCACGAGACGTTCGGCGGCGGCTTCTCGCCCACCGCCGTTCTCAAGCTGCGCCGCCTCGCGCGCAAAGTCGCGCGCGGCAGCGTTGACCGCACGGCCTACTCGCCCAAAAGTACTCGCTTTCTTTTATGTCCCACCATGCAGAGCGCATCTCTCTCTCTGTTGTGCGAGGCGTGAACCGCGCCATTCGCTCTCACCTGGCAACCCTGTCTGCACGTGCCACGTCTCGCGCGCGCGTGAACAGGGCTCCAGGCCCCAAATGACGTGTGAGTGTTAGAGTTGTTTGGTATTGCTAAAAATCTCTCTCTCAGACGCGCTAAAACAAGCCGGTTGGGAATCCTGAGAAGATTCCTTGAAGGTCAGCTCCGTCGTCGTCCCCCGTCCTCGTCTCCACCGCCCCCATCCCATCGCCCCGTCCCACCGCTCCCTCCCCCCGCCCTCAGCCGGGCCCCGAGAGATGCCTCGGCCCCACCTCACCACTCAGTGCCAAGGCGGGCCTCCTCCGGAGGCCCGCCCGGTGTGAGATTCCTCCTCCTTTGCGCGCTGGCCGTCGGTGGCGGCTTGTCCGTCGGTGAGCCTCCTCGGACCTTTGCGACCTGCTTCTCCCGCAGGCGCGGCTCCATCTGCCCCATCTGGCCCATCTGCAAGACGGATGCGGCACCGCCGACCCGATCCGCCGCGCCGCAGGTGCTGCTGCTGCTCGCCAGCGTGTTCGCGCTGTCGCACGCCGCTGGTGCGCGGGGGCGCGTGTGTCGTCCCCGAAGCCGCGCTTCTGGCCAGCGGGCGGCAGCTTCGCCGCCGTCGGCTACGAAGGCACCCCGGGCGCCGCCTATCTCAACGAGCTCATCGGCACCATCGGCTACGGCGCGATCGTGTCCGGCCTCAAGGCGATCCCGGCCAAGATCAAGGCGGACTCCGAGCTGCTCATCGACAGCATTGCGGAGGTCTTCAACCTCAAGGAGAGGGGTGTGGTGCGCTAGCCAAGAAAGAAAGAAAGTCCGGGCGTATTTCTTGCAAACACAACGACTCTCCGCCGGCTGTCGGGGCCAAATGGCTGGAGAGGCGGAGACGGTGGGAGGCTGGAGGATCGCCGAGGAGCTGGGCTCGGGCCACTTTGCAAAGGTCAAGCGGGGAATCCACATCACGACGAACAAGCAGTGCGCCATCAAGATTGTGAAGAAGCCGGCCGGTGCGCCGCCCGCGATTGCCCGGCCCGCACACCACACATGTGTATATGCAGCCCGCCACACTTGCGGCTCGCGTCATCGCCTCTTCCCCGCGGCGCCACAGACGTCAAAATGGCGCTGGTCCAGACCGAGGTCGATATTCTGAAGAAGGCGGCCCAGACTTCCTTCGCCGGCCCGCTCGCGCCACCCTCACGGCCCTCTCCTCAACAGGTCAATCACCCGTACATTGTCCGCTGCTACGATGTCATCGAGAAGGGCGACCGAATCTACTTCTTCATGGAGCTGTGCGCGCGCGTCCCCGCACCCCTCGCGCCCGCCGCCCTCCCCTTCTCTTCTCTCGCTGCTCTCGCGCCAGCCGCACCCGAGCAACCCCGCTGCGAGGGTGGGCGGGGACGTCGCGCTCTGAGGCGGCTTTGGTTGGCGCGCAGGATGGAGGGCGGCGAGCTCTTCGACAAGATTGTCGAGATCGGTGCCGCCCGCCCCTCCCGCCCGCCCCTCCCCTCCCACCTTCCCTCGCCCAGCCCACCCGCCGCCGCCGCCCGGCCGCCGTCGCTGTGGCGAGGGAGAGGAGGGGTGAGCGTGTGTGGGCCGCTGCGCGGCAGGGAACTTCACCGAGTCGGACGCGATCAAGATGACCATCAAGCTTCTCTCCGCCCTCCAGCACCTCCACTCCCTCGGTGCCTCCCTAGACACTTCCTGGACACTTCCTAGACGCTTCCTTCACACTTCCTCCAGCACCTCCACTCCCTCGGTGCCTCCCTAGACACTAGACACTTCCTAGACACTTCCTCCAGCACCCCCACTCCCTCGGTGCCTCCCACCACCCGCCCCCCGCCGCCTCTGTCCGCGCCGCCCAACGCGCTGCCCCCAACACCCCCTTCGCCGCCCGCCCTCCACCCCCCCCCCCCCCCC